AGAAATAAATAAAACATTAAAAAAAAATGTCATAGCAGGCCATTGGAGAGGTACTAATGGGTGGGCCATCCTGTAATTGACATGGGGAGCAACACCCTGGCCCAGGGCATTCCTTGAGATGGCTTCAATGTTCACTTCCCTAAAATGGGGATTATAGGGTTGTCTTTATTTATTAATTTATGTATTTATTTATTATTTTTTGAAGATTTAATTTTTTTGAGTAATCTCTACACCCAACATGGGGCTTGAACTTACAACCCTAAGGTCAAGAGTCACGTGCTCCACTGACTGAGCCAGCCAGGGGTCCTAGGGTTATTTTAAAGGTGAAATGAGATCATGCATATAAGTAACTATTATTATTAGCACTTGATAATTAAAGCCTATTAATTAATATTGGTGGATAGCCCCAGTAGGTGGAATTTGGCCGAAGAATGAAGAAGTTTAATTTCTGCCCCTGCAGAGGTCTCCTGTCCCCTTGGGGTTTAGGGGAAGGGTGTGGGGACAGAATGGGAGGAGGGCTGTGGCCCTGGTGAGCATGCCCTGGAGGGTGGGACTTCTGATTTGAGCTGGACCATCTCCTGCAGCCGGAAGTCAGGGGCTGAGCGTGACTCTAACCTGTGGACACCGCTTCTTTGAGAGTCTTGGGATTTGCCAGGTTAGACCTGGGAGAAGGGCTGAGAAACTCTGAGCCAGGCTGCTTGGGTAAGCATCCTCACTGCCTGCGATAGTGACCTGGGTGAGTCATGACCTCCCAGCCTCTGCTTTCTTATCTGTAAAATGGGGACAATCCTGGGAATGACCTCAGAGGGTTGTGAAAATTGGACTTAATCGAAGAATCAGCGCCAGGTACTGTGTTAACATGTATATATCGCAGTGAATTCCCACAGTAATTCTATGATGCATGGTTGCACAGCTACTAAGGGGGCAGTTAAGGGACATCTTAGACTGGAGAGTTGAACTTCAGGTCACCTCCCTGCCATTAGGATGAGAAAACCTGCTCAGGGAGGGAAAGTAAGTTGCCCAAGGTCACAGAGATCATCTGCTTTGGGGCTAGAGCAGCATCCCTGGTCTCTGGAGCTGCCAGACCTGGGATCTGACACTCCCTCCGGCCCCTAGCCGTGCCCCGATGGACAGACACATTTAAAGAAGGTGGCTTTGCTGGGTGGTCACCTCCAGTAGCAGGACGGCGTCCACACTCCCTGAAAACGGGGGCGCAGGGGTTCCTGAGCGCCCGCCTGTGGAGCTACCCGCGTGCCTCCACTCAGCCGGGGCGAGGGGGCGGCCGTGGGCGGCGGCGGCCTCCCCTGGCGCTGGCCCGCTGGCTTCCCTGTCGCCGCCGCGGCCTCCCTCCTCCTTCCTGGCGGCCGCCGCGCCGCGCGGGTGTTCAGTTTCAGCGCGGGGATGAGCGCAGGCTGCGCCCGGCTCCCCGAGGAAGGAAGGAAGAGAGCGAGGGCTGCACAGTCCTCGGCCGGGCCCTGGCAGCGCCGTGGAGGGGGCTCGGCTCCGCTCGCCGGGGCCGGGCGCGCGTCGATCCTGCGCTGCCGAAGGGGACGCCCGGGAACCGCGCTGCCGCCGCCGCCGAGGGTAACCGCGGGCTCGCCGGGCGGGGCCGGGCGGGCGTCCCTGCGCTGCGCCCTGCGGGCCCGGGGCCACCCGGGAATCAACACTCCTCTGGGGCGCGCCGGGGCGGGGTGTGGGTCGCCTCCGGCTCGCGGGTTGCGCGGCCGGCGTCGCGGAGCAGCTCTTTGTGTCTCTCGGGGCTGCGTGTAAGTGTGTAGTGTGTGTGCGCGCGCGATCGGCGCCTCCAGCCCAGTCATCCGGTGCCAGCTTTCCCCAGGTCCCCCCCCCCGCCCCCCATCAAGACCTTTGCCCGAAGGGATGCCTCCTGAGGTGCCGGGGGAGTTTCGCTAAGTTGGAGGGAAAAGGGCGGGGTGGGGTCGCCCGGCTTCCCCGGATCCCAGGCAGTGCCCCAAAGTTGATGCTGCAGGTGCAGCGCCCCTCCTATCACGCTCCTCCCCAGCTAGCCCGGGCCTTGGGAAGCGGGAACCCCCCAAAGGCTTAGAGCGGGGGCGCCTCAGCCTCATCCCCCAACTTGGAGGGTGCTCTCCGGCACAGAAGCCACCGGGGCGGTGGGGGGTGGGGGTCGAGGGGCGCGGCTTTCCGGGCAAGGGGCAGCCGAGGCGGAAGCCAGGCTGGCTGGCCGGCGGGGAGAGCTTAGCGGCCGTGGCACAGAGCCGGGGTGCCCATGTGACTGCGGTGTGCTTTGGAAGAGGAAGCTGTAGAGGTCAGTGCAAAGGCGTCACGCCAGAGCGAGCGGGAGCAGGAGTGAGGGGGGAGACCCGGAATGAGCGCGGGGCAGGCGGGAGGGCGGGGGTGGCGGCTGTTAGGGGCCCCGGACAAAGCCTCCCTGTCACAGCCACCCTGGCTGCTCCAACGCATGCAATTGCCCGGCGGGAGGGACGGCCCGGCCTAGCGGCCAGGAAATGAGGGACATGGGAGGAGGGGCCTCTCTAGGAGAGGCGGGTCTGGAAGTGGCGCCCCCAAGCTCCGAAGGGCCCCAGAGGATGCTGAAGGGGTGACCCGGAGGGCAGATCAGACACAAGCACAACTTGGAGAACTTTCCTTGCACAGAGCTGCCGCAGCTCTTAGTGATTCCGTCCACGCGTGCTGGGGAGGTTGGGGGCGGGGGGGGGGCGGGTGGTTCAGGAATGGTGACCGGTGTGGCCAGGCCAGCCTGGGGCCTGGTGCCCAGGAGCACGTTCCACTCCTCTCGGTTGCCGGCACCTGGGTTGCTATCCAGCTGCCGACTGAACGAAGCACATCTCCTGGCTCCACCCCACAAACACTTAAATTGTTTTCACGAGGCTGTTTTCCGCTGAGGCCTGGAGGGGGTGGAAACCAAGGTTAGATTAAGAAAAGAAAAGAAAAAAGAAAGCCAGACGTAGAGGTGGTTTTAGGAAAATGAGGACTAATATTTTGAAGTGGTGCTTGGAGGGGAGGCCGGTGTGTCCGTGTGGGGTGGGGTGGGTTAGGGCTTCACCCCCACTCCCCACCCCCATTTCCTTGGAGAGAAGAGGATTACTGGGGTCTTCAGAGTAGCGACCTGGCAGGGGCGTGCTGGGTGGAGGCGGGAGGGTGTAGGGCCCAAGCGGAGCTGGGACTTTAACAACCCCAGCGCCAGCCCCGCAGCCCAGCCCGCGCCTGTCTTCGTGACAGCGCTGCGTCCTGTGCTGTCAACTACACCCCTCCGATGGGGTTGCTAGGCAGCGGGGCTCTGATGTGCAGGAAGGCCTTCTGATTTGTCAGCCTCCTGCAGACACATGGTTAAGGCTCCTTCCAGCCTATCCGGAGGAGGGACGCGGGGCACGCTGCCTGCATACTGCTGAGCCCCGGGTCCACCTGAATGTGAGGTGCAAAAGGCAGCTAGAGGGAGGGGGGCACCGGAGCCCACCAGCCTCCTAACCAGCTCAGCCCCACGCCCCCCCTACCCCTATTATCTCCACTGGGGCTTGCTGCTGGCTCCTCCCTGCCTGTCCCAGCACCATTCCTCCCCTCTTCCCCAAACCATGGAAAAGCAAAGTGCAGCGGGAAAAAGAGGTCAGTGGGGTAAGCATGTGCGTGTGGGCCTGCGGAGATGCCAAGGTGCGTGAGCATGAGCCGTGGGGAGGCTGCCCCATCCGTGCAGCCGGTGGCTCTTATGGGAAGGGGTGGGAGGCAAAGAGGGGGACCCTGGCATCACTGGCTTCCAGGCCTGGACTTGGAAGCCTGCTCTGCACCCCCGCCCCCCTCCCCCACTTAAGCTCTGCCCACCCCCAGGAGGGCAGCGTGTCAAGGGAGAAGGGAGGAGGCTGGTGAGTTCCTGTAAGGAAGGGTGGGTTATCTGGCTGCTGCTAGAGCTGAGAAGGGGGGCTGCTGGCGGGTTCCTCCTCCCCAATTCACCTCTTCCACCCAAGCCTCTGAGACCCAGGTTCTCCCCTCTGCCTGTCCACCATCCACCCCCAACATCTTCTGTTAATCTCTTCCCTTTTTTTTTAGCAGCTCTATGGAGATACAATTCACGTACGACTCATCCATTTAAAGTGTACAATTCAGTGGTTCTGTATGTTTACAGAGTTGTGCATTCACAGTCCATTTCGGGACATTTTTGTCACCCCAAAATGAAACCCTGTACCTATTAGCAGTCACTCTCCATCCCTGCCCCCTCCCACCCTCACCCCCAGGCCCTGGCCACCACAAAGCTACTCTGTCTCTGTAGGTTTGCCTATCCTGACCGTACCATATACGTGAAATCATACACTGTGATCTTTTCATGGCTGGTACCACGTCCTTTGAGCTGCATTGCTCACTTCTCAGTCTCCTGCAGTTTGTCTTGCCATTTAACTTTTACTGTGCAGTGCTCCATTAAGACTGTCCCGTCCCGAAGGGCAGGTGTCTTGGGCATTCTTATTATGCCTTTCTCTGTGTCATGCCTAGCTCTGCGCCGGACCACGGGTTGGCTCTCAGTAAACGATTGTTGAATGAATGAGGAGATGAATGGGGACTGGTAATTGGCAAGCCCTGCAGGTGGTTTACAATAGAATCCCAGGGGGTCCAGCTGCTGCGAAGGGGACCAGCAGCTTGGGAGAACTGCAGGTACAGGAAGGAGCAGAAAGGAAGCCTCTCGCTAGAGTGGGGGTGGGGGTGGGGCCAGAGTAGAAGCTGTCAGGGAGGAAGGAACCAAGTGGCCTGTGGGTTGCCAGCTCTCTCCTGGGAACCTGAAAACAAAAATGCCTCCCCCAGCCTGGGGGGCAGGTGGCCAGTGCTTGAGATTCATCATCTGATCACAGGGGCTTCCCCCATGGGGAACTCCGATGAGAACTGGGTTCAAAAGGAAGAGAAAAAAAAATTCCCCAGTGTGAGCATTTGTAAAAGGGCAGCAGGTCAAGCATCCCTGAAGCTGCAGGCTCACCTAGGATTCAGGGGCTGAATTGTTTTCTCTGCTCCCTGCTTCCGTGCCACAGGTACTGTCTGATGAGCGTCAAAGGTTGTTTCACTGACTTCCACATCGACTTTGGAGGCACTTCGGTTTGGTACCATGTTTTCCGGGGTGGGAAGGTGAGTTGAGCTTTGTTTCTTCAACCTCTGTACGTCCCTGACTGCTTCTTCCTGGAGGGGCTCGCTGCTCTCGCCTGCTCCCTGCCCCACGACCAGCTAGCCCTTGCTCCGTGACTACTTTCAGGGCCACCTCCTCCCTCTCTGTCTCCTCCTGGAGAGGAGGATCAAGGTCAAGTCTTCTGTACCACATCTGGCCACCTGTTCACACCTGCCCACCCAGTCCCAGTGTTCTAAGCATCTTAGGCCAGATTAGAACTCCAGCTTTGGTTCCCGAGAATTGCCAGCATTCCTTTTCCCCGTTGGAGTTTTCAGCTCCAGCATCGAGACCGTTAAACGTACAAGTCTAGTGGCCAGCACCACCTGCGTCCATGGACATTTTACATGAGGGACAGGCGTCACCCAGAGGGAGGAGGTGGGGCGTGCGTTTGGGAGGCTCCCGCTCTGTTCGCCCCTGTGTGCACCCTGCACGGGTGTGGGTGCTCCTTGAGTATGCGTGGCGCCCTGCTCATCTGGGGCTGTGTGTAGATTCGTCTTAACCAAACACGTGAGAAGAAATTCTGGGTAGGAAGTCATCCTGCCTGGTTCCAGATGTTTTTCCTCCTTCTCCAGAGTGAACACAAGCTGGGCTTATTTATTTATTGGGCCATTTGATCAGACGACTTAGGAAATTCCCATCCTCTCCTTCCCTTACCTCCTCAACAAGCCTGTGGCTTAGGAGAAAGAATGTTCCTCTCAGTCCAGGAAGTCTACCCACCCTGGTGTTTTACCGGGAACGGAGATTCCCTAAAGGCAGGCCAAAGGGTGTCCAGGATGGTGGCATAACTCCCCTGCCACCCCAGAGACTCTTAGGGCCGGGTCCTGGGCGTGTGCCCTGTCCTGTCCCCCTCCCCCGCCCCCCACTCCCAGGCAGGTGGGGCTGTCTCCTTGGGTTGTGGCCCAGCCTGGAAGAAATCCAGGACTTTGGCCCGGATCTCCAGCTGATTGCCTCCTTTTCCTCCCAAGATCTTTTGGCTGATTCCTCCAACCCTACACAATTTGGCACTGTACGAGGAGTGGGTGCTGTCAGGAAAACAGAGTGACATCTTCCTGGGAGACCGCGTGGAGCGATGCCAGAGAATTGAGCTGAAACAGGGCTACACGTTTTTCATCCCTTCCGGTAGGTTCCGGCCAAGGCTGGCGCTGGGCTCTCCCTCGGCGCCTGGCTCTCCCAGCACTGGGAGAAGGCTCCTGCATCCCTGGGGCCTCAGCCAGGGTTTGGGGCCAAGGGACGGGATTCTGTGGGCCTCGTGGCATTTGGCCGTCTCTGAGAGGAGCAGGCCTCGGCTGTAGGGAAAAACAGCCCCCTTCCGCTCTCACATTAACCTGTGTCTCTCTGCCTGTGGGCTAGAATTTGCTCCTGGGAAAGAGCACAGGGCCCTCCCTCCCGGGAAGTGTGGATGCCTTCCCCAGGACTTCCTGTGGAATTTCTGTATGAGGGCATGACAGTGGTACTGTGGGGAGGGGGTAGGGTCACCCCCTGGAAGGAGGAATTGTGTTGTTTTCCCAAGGAAGCAAAGTATGGAGGGTGCAGTCTGTGGCAGGTTCTGGGGAAGGGCAGACCTCAGGGCCGGGAGTTTTATGGGGGTGCCTGAAAGCCTGGGGAATGGGCAGAGGGCAGTGTGGCATTGGGGAAGGACCCAGTGTGGCAGCCTCCTTCCTGCACAAGCAGGTGAAATGTAGTTGAGGTCAATGCTGGCTCTTGCACTTGGACTTCCCCTGCCTTCAAAAGAAAAATTAAGAAGGAAAAAGAAAAAGAAATTAACAGCACAAGTATATAGAGGGCAGTAATTAAGAGTGCTGGCCCCGGAGTCAAACTGCACAGCCTTAGTTTAAATTTCAGCTATACTGCGTTCAGGTTGTGACTTCACGGAAGTGGCTTAATCTCTCTGTGCCTCGGTGTTCCTGTCTGTAAAATGGGAATTAGACTTCCCAGGGTAGTAGTGAAGACTGGAGTGAGCTAAGACCTACATGTCTACAGCTCTTTGGTGATGGACTGAGGGCTTTGGACAGTTACAGGCTGAGTCACCAGTGAATATGACAGATGCCCTACGGGTCAGGGAGTACAGTCTTTGGCTGATTAATGGAAACATTTTACCCAGGATGAGGGAGGTGACAGTCCACTGTATAGAGTAAGGGAGTCAGGTCACATATAGGAGGTTAGCTAACCTAGAGATAGGAGTCTGGATACCATATCAGGTGAGATGAACTTGTCTTTTTTTTTTTTTTTTTTTTAGTTTATTTATTTTGTGAGAGACAGAGCATGCGAGTGAGCACACAAGTGGGGGAAGGGCAGAGAGAGAGGGAGACACACATTCTGAAGCAGACTCTAGACTCCAAGCTGTCAGCACAGAGCCCGATGTGGGGCTTGAACTCACAAACTGTGAGATCATGACCTGAGCCGAGATCAAAAGTTGGATGCTTAACCGACTGAGCCACCCAGGCACCCCCAGATGAGTGAATTGGAAGGAGGAATTCGGTGGTTTTACCCAGGAGAGTAAAGGTGTATGGGAACATCAGTCGGCTGGTTGAAAGATTGTCTCCTGAAAGAAGAGGTACAACCAAGTGGTGTTGGAATGACTAGCTCAGCTAGGTAGTGAGCTCCTTGCCACTGGATATATACAAGTAGAGGCTCTATATATGGCTGTGCCAAGAAGCCTGCAGGGAATTTGCCACTGAGTGGAGGCTTGAACCTCCGGAATATCCTTTGAAGCAGCTAAGATCCATTGGAGGGAGAAGCTGGTCACACTTAGGTTTCAGAAAGTTGGGTTGGAAGCTGGCCTTGGGTCTGGACATCAAGTGCTAGTGTCACGCGAAGAGGGGGCCATTTCGGTAGCAGTTCCCACTGAGGGGATAGGGCCTGCACACTTGGGCTCTTCTAGAAAGTTGGGCCGAAGGTAGAGATTTCACTGTTAGGGAAATTGGGGATTTGGAAACGTTGGGGTTTAGAGGGAGTGACTTTGTTACCATGGCCCCAGGTCCATCCTCAGACTTGGGGGAGGGGAGGGACCCCTGTTTGGGACAGGAATGTGTTGCAGTTGGTGGGCAGTATTTATGGTATATAACCTGGCCTATGTGGCATGGAGAATCGGGCAGGAGATGGTACCCTTCTAAGGTGTGCTCAAAGGAACTTTGGGCTGGTCTTTTCCCCTGTCTGCCTCAACTATCCAGTCTCCACAATGAGAGTGGGTAGGGCTAACCTGTGAAACCCTCAAGGTCCCTCGTACCCAGCCCTCCCTGAAAGCAAGCCTCCTAGCCTCCCTGGGAAGACTGGCTTTCTTTCCTTAGGGCCTTGGCCAGAGTTGGGAGGTGGCTCATTGGGTTCCCTCAGTCTGGGATGGGCAGGGTGTGCATTTTGGGGACTTAGCAAGTTGGAAAAGGTCTTGAGAAGTAGCATCTGAGCCCCAGCAGAGGTGTGTTTGTTGAAGGCAAGAGTAGGATTTGAACTACAGCTAGCAGATGTTGAGTTAGATACCAGCAAGGACTCCTTGGCCCTGAGGGTTATGAGTGAGACACCAGGATGTTTGGGAAACAAAAAAGGGATAGTTAGAATTTGTCACGTTCTCAGAGGCTGGGGGTACGTGTGGTTCCCAAGCGTTGATTTCTGCAGGGACCATTGGGGGAAAAAAAGTTGAGAGCTTATAGTTACAAACTTGTAGTTTTGCTAAAGATGGGTGTTAAAAAACAAACAAACCCAGGGGCATCAGGGTGGCTCAGTCGGTTAAGCATCTGAATCTCGGTTTCAGCTCAGGTTATGATCTCATGTTTTCATGAGTTCAAGCCCCGCATTGGGCTCTGAACTGACAGTGTGGAGCCTGCTTGGGATTTTCTCTCTCCCCTCTCTCTCTCTGACCCTCCCCACTCACACTGTCTCTGTCTCCTTCAAAAATAAATACATAAACTTAAAAAATTTTTAAAAACAAACCCCAAAACACCTGGCATCTACTATTGCTGATTTTCATGAATGGGAGATGATTCTGACGCTAAAAAAGTTGGAAGTATGAAATTTCAGAATAATGGACAGTATTTTAAATTTGATAGTTTTGAGTTTATGAAAATGTATACCATTTTCATTTTCTTCATTTTGTTGCCAACCAGCGAAAATTGAAGGACCAGAGTTTTGCGGTCACTGAGGTAGATGGGCACCTGGGAATTCTTTCCAGCACCCACGCCCCTTGAGCTGTGGGGAGACACACATCTGAGAGTTGGGGTGTTTGGAATGTGGTTTTGGGTGGAGAGTTGGAGAGATAGCCTTGGGGAGCACAGCCCCTTGCATGTGGGTTTTCTATATTGGGAGCAGAGAATCTAATTCTGGCATTTCTCACCTCTGACGTGGGTTTTTGTCCCCACAGTGTGACCTTAGACATGTGACCTCTTCCCTGATGCTGGCCTCCTGTCTCCCCATGGGCCATTCAGCAAGTCTTCAACTCAAGGCTAACGGGAGGCTGCTGGCGTGGGAGGGTTTTAAATGTTACAGTCTTCATGAGATGTGGTTTCACTCTTTTCTTCTTGTGTCTGGAGTGAAGAGGTTGGGTACTGGCTGTGCTGTGGGAGTGGGTGGTTCTCAGGCCTCATTCCTGGGTGGTCTAGGAAAGCTGCCTGGAAGAGGAACACCTGAAGGTGGCTGAGTGAGATGATCTGGCGAAAGGGGCCTGGGTTTGTCCTGTTGATGAGACAGAGGCAGTGGGAGTACAGTTGCCTCCCCAGGGCACACAGTCAGGGTCAGGAGTGGCCGGCAACTTACCCATATTCAGCCTGATCACTAGGTGGAAAGAAAGCTTGAGGTGGAAATCATTCCCAAGGAGTAGGAAGTCAGAAACCCAGTGACACCTTTTTCCTTCATGTAGGGGACCTGTGGCCAATGCCCTGACCACATCGATGGGCTCAGCCTCTTTCTCTGGCTGCTTAATGAACTATAGTTAATGGTAATACCTTGCGTTACTGAGCAACAACATTTTACGTATCTTACTTACCTTTTTGTAAGCATGTAGAGAGCATGCTTATTTCCCCCCCCCTGCCTTTTCTTTAAGTAAAGAAGGTTCCTGGGGCCCAGAGAGGGGAACAAACTGGTCCAAGGTCACACAGTTAATAAACAACAGAGCAGGGCAAGAACCCAAGTGTGTGTAGTTTCAGAGTTGACCTGATTTGCCTTTAGCCTGGGAGTCAGCAGACTTAGGATCTGGCCTTCCTTCTCGGCCATATGACTTTGGGAAAATTATTTGCTCGTTTAACAAACTTTCTGTTTTTTTTTTTTCTTTTTTAATGTTTATTTTTGAGAGAGAGAGAGCACGTGAACAAGGGAGGGGCAGAGAGAGAGACACACACACACACACAGAATCCAAGCAGGCTCTAGGCTCTCAAGAGCCGGACACGGGGCTTGAACTTACAAACCATGAGATCATGACCTGAGCCAAAGTTGGACACTTAACCAACTGAGCCACACAGGAGCCCCTAAAACTTTCTTAAGGGCCCACTGGCGGTGTGGAAGGTGGTAAGGAAGCTATAAGACGGATCCTCTTGAATGCATGTCCATCCAGGGTGGTGGGACCTAGGAAGGGCCCTGGGGTCAGTGGCTTGTACTGGCCTGAAAGTATTTCCCATCTTTGCCTTGTAGTAAGAATCACCCATGACTCAAAATTCACGGGTAGCCCTAGGTGTTTCTTAGACTTGGGCCAGTCTGAGAAAAAGTAATCTGAAGCTACTTAATAGAGTAATGTAGCTGGGGCCTCAGATGACCCGCCTATAAAATGGGTACAGAGCAGGGAGAGAGGGTGGAAGTAAAGAAGGCTGGATGTGACACAGAGGGTGGTTGTGCTCAGGGAAATGAGACAACTGTTACTCCCCTCCGGCCAGTTAAAGCCATATGAGAGTAGCTTACGGGCCCATCTTCCTGTTTTTCTAGAGAAGGAAATAATTTGGATTGTCTTGAGAAATTTTCCCATTTCTGTAACACATGTGGGTCACACTAAACACACTCCTGAATCTGCTGCAGCTTGTGACCTGCCAGTTTGGGTCCCTTGTATCAACTATGGGGTCCTGGAAAGGAAAGGAGATTCTTTTTTTTTTTTTTTAATAGTTTATTGTCAAGTTGGTTTCCATATAACACCCAGTGCTCATCCCCAAGGGAAAGGCCATTCTTGCTTCATCCCGCCAGCGGCAGTGGGCAGCCTGGGGCCTGGCCTAGCTCAGCTAAGGAAGCAGGTCATGGCCTTCTGTGAAGTGCCCCCAAGTTCTGTGCTTTTTGGGTTTACTCCTAGAGCAGCCACAAAGATAGACAAGTGTGGGTGTAGGTGGGGCAGGGGCAGGGTGGGGGAGCTTTGGTTTCTGAATCCTGAGTATTTGGCTTGTGGGCAAGACTCCATGTGCCCTGTCCCTCAGGTCCCAGAGGACACCTGTCCGTAGGTTTTGTGGGTCGCCTGCTTTCCTTCCATGATTGATCTGTCCCTTGTCGCTTGGCCTGAATAGTCTCTGTTATTGCCTTCACGTTGTTGGTGACTCTGGCCTGGAAGCAAGAGACAGATGCCAGCCTCCCCAGCCCAGTCACCAGCTTGGGACACCTGCGCTCTCGTGCTTCCTGGGGAGCAGCCAAGGAGATGCCATTGGGAGGGTGGGGGTGGATGGGGCCTATGAACGCTATTATTCCATGTTTCTTTCTGAGGGTAGTATGGAAGTCATGGAATAGATTTGAGGAAGGCTGGAGGAGGCAGTTACTAATCCATTTGAGACTGCCTGACCCACCTGTGAGGCCCTGGCTTGGGGACAAGAGTGGGTAGAAGCTTCCAGAACCCCATGAAGTGCCTGGGGGTATAGAGTCCCTGCCATTCCACTTGAAACAGAACCTCTCTTTGCTCACATAGCAGCGTCACAGGGTGTACATCAGGTGTGTCTACATTTCCACCAGATAGGACAGAAGGGAGAGTCCAGGGCTGATAAATGCAGATTTACATGAGCATCGCTGTTTGCAAAGCCCTCGAGGTGGATGAGACCTCCACGAATATCAGTGGCAGTTGCTTTTGTGGACTGAGTTCTTGCTCACCAGATTCCCCGCAAGGGAGGCAATGATCTCCCTCGTCTCATGCAGGCAGGTGGAGGCCAGGAGAGGGGGTGGTCGAGTGCCCCCCATCGCATGGTGAGTCGGCCATGGGACAGTTTCCAGCCCAGGTCCTGGGACTTGGGCTTTCTGTAGAGCCCGCAACAACACGGGGAATCTTCGGCAAGGCCCTCAAGCTGCCAACCACCCGTCTTGAGCCGACCAGGAGTCACTGCCTGTAGACGTCCATTGGGGCCGTCCGTGTGAATAGCATAGGAACGGGACCTGGGCATCTTTGCCCCGTTCAGGCTTCCCCCCACCGTGTGCCCTACCTGGCCCTGGCGGTCCTGGGTCCCAGTCTTAGGCAGTGTTGCTTACATAACATGGATAGTGGTCATGGGAGCAATAATAGACCGCGTAGTGCTGCTTGGCAAAAATTCGAAAATGTAAGCTGAGAAAGTCAGCTGGTACACCTCTGAGGTGGAGAGGCTGAAGCAGATGTGGAAACTGAGGCTTTAAAGGTGGCAGCTGAACTTGCCCTGTACGGAGGTGGGAAGGTGCCCAGTGACTCCATAAGGGTGCACCTGCTCAGCAGAGCTGGAGACGTGGGGCGCTCACAGCAGAACCAGGTTCCACAGAGCCTTCCTTCCCATGCTCTTGGCTGTCGGTTTTCCCTGCTCTCCCCGGGGGACTGCCCGCTCATCCCACCCTCTGCCCAGCAGGGAGGACCCGCGCCCCGAGTGTCCTATAGATGACAGCAGTGGCCTCCCGGCTCTCTTCCCAGGTGGCACCATTGCTCCTGGCAGCCGTGGGCACCTGTGGCTGCCTGTGACTCAGGGCTGGCGTGTTTTGGGTGCGTGGTGGGGGAGGGCTCTGTAATTTTCCTCTGAGCAGACAGATTATGCATACAGGTTAGAGAAGAGGGGTCAGAGAAGAGGAGATGTGGGCACCTGGGTTTGGGAATCTCGGGGCTTGGGCTGCCCTTTCCTTCCTCTTTCCCGTCTGCCGATCCTGTCTTTCACTGTGAGTCTCTCTGCCTCCATCTGTCCTTGTCTCACCTCTGTGTCTCTTGTTTCTCTCTGCGTGTCTCTTTTTGCCGTCCCCGTCTCCTGGGGCCTGCAGGCCTGGTGCTAAGCCTGTGACAGAGCGATGGTGCAGCATCGCAGTTAAAAACGGAGGTGCTGTCTCTTGCCAGCTGTGACTTCATTCAGCAAGCGACTTACCTTCTCTTAGCCTGGGTTTCAGCATCTGTAAATGGGAGTGGAGTATAATACTGCCTGTCCCCTAGGCTCGTGCTGTTCCGGTAGGCTGGAGGTGCATGTGGGTCTGTTGAGCACTTGAAACGTGTGTTAGTGACTTGGGGAGGGAATTGTGTGGCTTGTTTTGTCTGGCCTTCAGGGACCAAGTGAGGCTGACTCCTTGGGTTTCAATCCTTATAGGTGACTTCTCTGTGCCTCAGTCTTCTCTTCTGTAAATTGGGAATGACTGTAGTATATATCTTCTAAGGGTTTTGTGAGCATTAAGTGAGGTAAGTTCTGTAAAGCCCTTAGACCAATGCACAGAGGCAGCCTTTAGTTCTATCCCCAGGATTATTAGGCCAGGCTTGCTTGGGAGCTCAGGGGAATGAAGAAGCCATGTCCCAGGCTGTTAAAGGGCTGCCGTCAGCAGGAGAGAGACTCATCTGCAGCTGTAGGGCAGAGCAGAAGCAGAACTGATGTGGGGTACAGGTGTTGTGTGGACAAGATGAGCACCTTGGAACGGGCCATGGGGGATTTTAATGGCAGGAGGTGGCCTCAGGCAGAAAAGCATCTGGGTTCTGTAGTTCTTGGGTGTCATTCCTGCCTTGTGGCCCCAAACAATCCTTTGTCATTCCCCCCAAGGTGAGTGGTTGCTGGGATGCTGAGGCAGAGGCTCAGGGACCTATGAGCAGCCTAGAATGAGGGGTGTCCAGCTCCCTGGGAGGGGCGCAGGGCCTGCATCTGTTGGCTGCTGTGGCCGGGTCCGCAACAACATGGGGAAGCTTCGGCAAGGCCCTCAAGCTGCCAACCACCCGTCTTGAGCCGACCAGGAGTCACTGCCTGTAGACGTCCATTGGGGCCGTCCGTGTGTGCGAGTCCACTCAGCCAGCCAGAAACCTGGCTTTCTGCGTCAGCAGCCTGAGCATCCCCGCGATCCTGGCCCTGGGTGCTCCCCTGGGTCTCCTGTGACCTTCTGCACGCTTCCATAGGGCGACCCTCCCCAGCGGTCCAGGAGCCAGTGGCTGACCCTCTCTGTGCCCTCCCTACCCCAGGTTGGATCCACGCAGTCTACACCCCTGTAGACTCTCTGGTATTCGGCGGAAACATCCTGCACAGCTTTAACGTGCCCATGCAGCTGCGCATCTATGAGATCGAGGACAGAACACGGGTAAGGTGGCTTCCTTCTCTCCTCGTGGGATTGCCCGGCCCCTGAGCCCTGCCTGGCGCTCTGGGTGTGTGGGACAAGTCGTTCTGAAGTCCTTTGTGGTCCCCCCCCCTGCTGCTCCCTGCCTCAAGCGGGGGGCCTTGGTCCTTGCGGGGGGCTGTCTGCAGGAGCCCTACCCAGAACCTCTGGAATTTCTGTTCATCTCCGGGCCGGTGGTAGCCAAAACCCCCTTCTCAAAGAGGAAGTATCTGTTGAGAAAGCACCGTGAGATATCAGGAAGCCTGCTTCCTCTTCTCACGTGTAGACAGGGATGCAGGAGCCTTGGGAAGGTTGCACCTGCTGTGGTGTGGGATGTAGGTGGGGCCTTGGAAAGGTCAGCTCTTGGACATGTGTCTCCTCTTCCCACGGACCCCAAATGTGATACAGCTATGGTCTCTGAGCTCTGCCTCTGTTTGCTTGCAGGGTGTGGGGGTTCCATTTTCCTCTTGGCAGTAACAGTTTCTCAGACATAGGGGATCCCCCACCCCCACCCACCAGGACCAGGGGCCGAGGCTTAGATACCTGACGTGCGCCCTCTGCTCTGCTCCATGAGTTTCCTCTGGAGGCCAAGGCTGCTTGCATGCACCCTCTTTCCCATGTGGAATTCGGCCGAGAGGCCCAAGGCATTGGAGACAGGTCTGAGGGTGGGAAACTGGGGCCAAGAGAACCCATTCCTTCTTCTTCTCTCTTACAGTTGTTCAAATATTCATTTCTTTTCTCTATTGAGATGCAATCCACATACCATCACATTCACCAGTTATGGTGCACAGTCACTGATGTTTAGCGGATTCACGATGTTGTGCAGCTATCACCTCTAATTCAAGGATATTTTCATCACTCCAGAAAGAAACCCCCCACTCATTAGCAGTCACCTTCCATTCTCCTCGGTGCACGGCTCCCTCCCTACTCACCGCCCCAGCCTGTGGCCACCAACAGCATGTTTTCTGTCTCTACAGATTTGCCTGTTTTGGACGTTTCATAGAAATGGAATCCTACATCATGTGTGGTTGGCTCCTTTCACTTTGCCTGATGTGTTAGGGTTCATCCACGTCGAAGCAGGTGTCAGTGCTTTGTTTCTTTTTTATGGCTGAATCATATTCCATCGTATGGCCTGGCCACACCACGTCTTCTTGGGCTTTCCCTCAGAGGTGACTTCTTTGCCCCAGAGAGGTTTTGTCGTGTCTGGACACTAAAGAAGCATCTCTTTGAGGCAGATTCCCTGAGCCCGGCCGGGGTCCCTGCCATTCTTGGTCTTATTTTTAGGCCCTCATCTGCACAGAGTCATATAAGTGAGCCAAAATCTTAGCTACTATGTGTGTATCTGACCTCTCTAACAGTCCCGATATGGAGGGACATTGTCCAGGGCTTTCCTGGGAATGGTGTTGAGCTCTGTGCAGTGGTCCGGGGTGCTTCATCTCCAGATTGGCGGGTTTGCTGCCAGGATGCCCAGGTCTGCAGAGACTGGGTCTTGTTTTGTGGATGTTCGCGCCTCTCTTCTCTGTCGTCCGCCTGCCATCCCTTTCCCGGTCCGGTGGATGCTGCCCCGTGGCATTCTGGAAAAAGGCACCATTTGGGTGTGAGTGGTGATCTCGCAGTCTGGGTCAAGTGCTGTCTGGGGCTTCGGCCAACTGTTCTTTGGCCAGCCCTGAAGAATGGGCCAGTTTGTGTGTGAGCCGACCAGGGAGACGTGGGATAGAAAAGGAGAAATCTAGAAGAAGTGAGGCCCATGACTTTCCAGCCAATTCCTGAAAGCCAGAGTCAGGCTGGGATTTCTAAAGGCTTTGGCAACTTGCTTGGCAGCTGTGCCCTCCCCCAGGGAATCCGAATTGCACATCTGTGTGGATTTGGGCCCCATGATTCCATTAGGAGCCCAGCTCTTCTCCCCTGCTGGGTGGGAGGCTAGAGGGAGGGTGATAGTGTGGAACCCCCAGCGTCGTGCCAAGTTCCTGTAGAATATCATGCCCCCATTGAGATGAGTGTGGCGGGGTCCCCTCCCCCAAGGCCCACTGTCCCTGTCATCTGAGTGGTCTCCCTCAAGCAGGTTGATGGGCGGAGGGCTGGCGGACAGGCTGGGCTGGGAGCAGCAGCCGGCTGTTTAATCTGCTTTGATTTCTGGTCTTTGGAGAGGGCTTGGCTACAAGGCCCAATTGTTTATATCTTAGGAGCCAAGGCAGACAAAAGATGCTGGGGAGAGAGCACGGGAAGCCAGATAAAATGCCAGGGCGCCTTGTCAGCTCGCTACAGCTTAATTCTTTACATCCCTGCGAGCTTTCTTAAGAAGGTTATGGTCACTTAAAAATAGTTTTTCAAGAGTCCCTAAAACAGGGCTTTGCTTAGAAACCCAAGGCAGGGGGTGGGACAGGAAACTGTCAGTCTTTAAGCCCCACAGTGTGAATTTGTCTAAGAAAAAGAATTTGCCTTTGTGGCCCAACGTGGGGAACCCCCCTCCCATCCAGACCAGGGGAACCCCAAGGTTCTCTTATGTTTCAGAAGCTATGCCTCACTTGTTAGGATTTTAATATTGGGGGGTTGGATGATAGGTAACTCCACCCTGCCTCCCGTGAGGCCCTACCCTGCAAGGGCCTGAGGGGGTTGCATGTGTAGAAACCCACATGTATGCCCCCCCTGTGTGGATTAAATCCTCTTGTTCTAAAGATGCAGGGAGTCAAAGAACAACAAAGAACAGGTGTGTTGCATGTTTATTATTTGAAGATAACATCTCAACAACTATCACTACGTATTTTTAACTCCAGTTAGCTTCATAAGGGACAGGATGGTCCAGCTGGTCATTCATTAAACTGCCGTCTCTCTTATGTTTTATCTTTTTTTTTTTTTTTCTCTTAATGGCTCTAGTGAAAGCAGCTTTCTCAGGAAAGGTAACGCCACACACTCCATTCCCTCTCAGCCAGTGAATCTATTTGGAAATTGCAAATAATTCTCCCTTCCTTTCCTCTATCCTCTACCATTGGATTTTTTTTTCCATTGACTTTTTTTTTTTCCAGGAGAAAAGCAAATTTTAAGACACTTCCACCCACCCTCTTATTTTAGTTTTTCAAGTCCTTGAAACCCGGGAGTTCTAGATGCACCAAAACACTTTTGGTTCTGATCTCCTGAGGTCACTCAGCTCTAAGAGGAAGGGCTACGGCCGAGTGCTACTCGCACGGGCCTTTGGGAACTCAAAGCTGCCCTTTGAGCTCCGCCGATAGATTGATTACCCCCCAGGCTAGGAGCGCTGCATGCTTTTCTGACTGCCTTGCCTTTCGGTGAACAACTCAATTTGGTGAGGCTCGGAATTTGTCCACAAGTAATGTTGAGCAATCGTGTGTTTAATATTCCCAGGCATGTGGCTGAAACCTTTTGAAGGCGAAGGGTGGAAGGCGACAACCCGTTTGTAAGTCAATTCTTTGCAAATTTTGTTTCCTGCGGTGCTCTCTTGGAAAAAAAAAATAAAAATAAAATGAAAAAATTCGAATTTCTTCATCAGCATTTGTTTTCACCCAGCCGGTTTCCCTTGGGTTCAGCGACAATGAGGGAGACTTCTCTGCCTCTCCTGAAATACAGCCAAAAAATAGATTTTTTTCCCCCCGATCTAGAAAGATTCTCAGGTGCCATGGTGCCATTCAGGCCAGAGTGGCTCGGACAGTTTCCCAAAATTTGAAAGGTTAAGTGCAACTTCAAAGTTTTACCGATCGAACCTGAAGTCGGGAGATGTGAGTGAGGGTCTGAGAAGAGGCAGGCCTGCCTGTCCTCAGCCTGCTCCGTAGGCAATTGGTTTCAAAGTCGCTTGGTCCTCGCTTTGGAGCAGGGGTGGGGCTGAGGCTCCTTGACCCTTCTTTACAGGAGGAGGTCAGTGTCTGTCTCAGTCTGAAGTGCCCCTCACCTTGTTAAACTCTGAAGGGCACTGATCCAGTGATAGTGGAAGAGGATTAATACTATCCCAGCATTAAAACCAGGGTTCTTGGGAAAGTAGCTGGAGCCAAGGAAACCGCTAGACGTTGTTCCCAACTCCATGCATCCCCAGAGGAGGTCAACAGCATGCGGCGGCCAGGATCTCATTCCAACCTCTCATCTACCAGAGACGGGGACATCAAATGGACCCACTAAGCAGATGGGAGCAGCAGTGAGGCCCCCGACAAGGAAAAGGGCCTCACGGTTGAACACTGAGTCAGCGGGGCATGGGGTGGCTGGGGGACTGAGCTGGGAATCTCAGGACAGAGCTGAGGCCTTTTCCAGGTGGGCATTGTGAAAGAGGAAGCAAAATGGTATTTTAGGGTAAATGGAAGAGCTAGGTCTGCTTGTCTTTGCCTTCATCTCACGTTGCCTGTATACTACTGCAGAGAAAGATGGGAGAGTGTTCTTGCTTAACATCCAGCTCCCTGGGTTTCTGGAAGATAGGAGAGGTGAAGAGGGGTCTGTGGTCCCTGCAGAGGTCCCTTGAGGGAGACACACCCTTGGCGAGAGGGCAAGACACCAGGCCGGGAATGAGCCTGAACGTACAGGATCTATGTGTAGCCTTGGAAGAGAGGGTCTCAGCCCCCTGCGGTGTGGGGGTGGGTGGGCAGAGACCACCTTCTCACTCCCCTATTCCTCACTAACCCGCTCAGGATGAAGTTTCCAGAAGGTTCATCTGTGCACGGCCATCAGTGGTATTGCTTCCTTCCCATCTTCCTCTGCCATCTCGTCCATATAGACCCATCAGAATCCTCCTGGAGCCCAGGCCTTTTCATAATTCTGATACACAAAGCTATCTGCACCTATACTTCCTCCCTATAAGATACGGCAAAAAGGGGATCTCGATCTGGACTCCTGCTCCAGACCCGGGCATGTGTCTCCAGACGTTAGAGTGGCCCCAGCTCACCCTGGGGACTTGCGCCTGAGGGAGTCCTTTGGGAATACAGGCTGGGCAGCGCCAGGTGGTTGGCGGGGAGGAGCAGGAGGTGGGCCCCTTGGAGGCCCCGCCCCTGGAGGCCGGAGATGCCACGCCCCCTCCCTCCTCATTGGTTCTACCGGTGTTGCCTCCCTCCTAGAGTGCAGGAGACGGTTGGTAGCCTGCCTGCAAATGGGTAAGGTTTGGGGTCGATCTCTGTCTTTCAAGGGGCAGGGAGGCTATGATAGCAGAGTCTGTGCAAGAGTTGTCTGAGAACAAGGAGGAGCCTGTGTTTGTTGTAGCTGGAATCAGGATCCCATCCGCAGGTACCAGCACCCTCCGTCAGTAGGTCAGGGGACAACTCTTGTTTCTCTGCATCTCACAGAAACACAAAGCGGACCCCATCCGCTTTTCCCTGGCGGCATGCAGCTCAGGGAGCTTTGAAATGATGCTCTCACATAGGCCTCTTTTCTCCCCTCTTCCTCCTCATTTGTGCATGCTCCTGGTATCTGGCCCCTTCCAGCGCCTCTCTCTTGCCTTCCGGCCGCCTCCCCCATTTTCCCCTCACATCATTTGTGCTCTTGTTAAGACGGTGAAAATAACTCCCACCTGCAGAAACCCCGTTCCCCCCAGTTTCCTCCCTTGTTTCTCCTTTGCCCTCCAGAAACTGACTTCTCCCCCTGGGTCTTTGCTTTCAGGTGCAGCCCAAATTCCGCTACCCCTTCTACTATGAGATGTGCTGGTATGTCTTGGAGAGATACGTCTACTGTGTGACCCGGCGGTCCTACCTCACTCAGGAATACCAGAGAGAATCCATGCTGATTGGTGAGTGAACTGTGGGCCCGGCCGCCCCCACTGCTCAGCTGGGCAGGAAGAATTTTTCCCGTGTGGCCCCTGAGAGTCCCTGGGTTTCTGCTGTCCTTTTGAACCAAAATGTCAGGCAGATTCCTAGAGACCCCTTAGGAAGGGGAAGCCATCCTTTTCAACCTCCCATTTAGAATACAGGGTCCAGGAAAATGAAATTGTGCCCCCCCCTCACCCCCCCCAACGGAGTCCCACTGGTAGCCTCCAGGTCTCGCTGGTGACTGTTTAGGTGTGAGGACCCAAACCAGGCGTGGTTGTTGAGACAGGACCCCCACGGAGCAAAGGATCCTGGTTGTTTCATTTCTCCGCGGCCGCCAGCGCATCCCCTATCCTCACTCCTCCGCTGCACCGAGGGGTTGGTTTTGGTCTATATAAGAGCAGGCCCATGAGGTGCAGCCAGTCCTCAAAACCTGAGGCCAGCTTTGCGCCGGCGGGAGGGGTGACCAGGGCTGGAGACACAAGCTTGCCAGAGCAGTGGGTGGTTCTGACAGAGGCTGGGAGAAAGTTTATAGCCACAGCTGCGGAGCCCTGCTTACTTCCTTTATTTAAAGGAACATCACCCCCACATGGCTCAGTCCTTGAACCTTGACTCAGAGGTGCCCGCCTGAAGTTGCCTCTAGCTGTGACAGTGAGCCCCCAGGAGCAATCTAAAGGAACACCCATTTTTCCTCTGTTCTTCCTCTGAGCTGTTACTGCTCGGGGCTTCCTGGATGCAAAGTCAGCTGAGCTTCATTCACAGTTTCTGTCTCAAAACAGGATAGAACAATACGGTCGGTCTGTCTCCTTTAGGGTTTGCACTGTTTCTTTCTCTTGCAATTGCCAGGATTTTAAGATTCCCTATTTTTTTCCTCACTGTAAAAAGCCTTCTTCCCTCCTTCCTTCTTCACTCTCATCCTTGGTGACTTTTAGGGGTTTCACGCTGGACATATAATGGGGAACAAATGTTTCTGCTGGGGTCTTTATTGGGAAGTGCTACTTTCCCTCCTAGAGATTCAGTGTTGTCTGGGAAATCTGTTGTCAGTCTCGTACGTGTCAGATGATACAATATTCAGGTGTGGAAAAGCCCTGAGACCCCACAGCCCACTCTATGGACGCTCCCAGCTTGGTAGGAATTAGGAAGTGATCCTGCAATAATGAGATAACCCCTGTGGTGGTAGTAGCTCCACGTTCCTATGGGCAGCGGAGGCTTGATTCTGTGGCTGTCCTTAGGGCCAGCACACTGAGCGGCACGTCTCTCATTTGTATATTTAGGGCCGTAGGAGAACATCCCTGATTTCACTTGCAGGCATGAGAGGCAATCTCGAGGCGGCATTTGGGTCGTCGGTGCCTGAGTTTTTCTTAAAATTTCTTGTCTTTGCTTCCTGTGGTCTCAGCACTCCTTCCGCCAATGAAAAGGGGAGGTGTCAGGGAGATGCCTCATTTACCAAATGCCAGTTGTGCGTCAGGACCCAGGCTCGGTGATGCCTTGCCGAATCCTTACCATAAGTGTTCAGAGGAAGCATTTTGTGCCTTATGTATATGTGCATATATATATATATATATATTAAGTTTTTAAAATTTATTTTGAGAGAGAGAACGTGAGTTGGCAGGGGCAGAGAGAGAGAGAGGGAGGGAGAGAGAGGATCCGAAGCGGGCTCTGCACTCTCAATGCAGAGCCTGATGCAGCGCTTGAACTCACGAACTGTGAGATCATGACCTGAGCCGAAGTCGGATGCTTAACCGACGAGCCACCCAGGCGCCACACATGCCTTATATTTTTAAAAACATGTAGTTCACGGGGTCACCTGGGTGGCTCAGTTGGTTGAGCATCAGACTTCGGCTCAGGTTATGATCTCACGGTTTGTGGGTTCGAGCCCCGTGTTGGGCTCTGTGCTGACAGCCCAGAACCTGGAGCCTGCTTCAGATTCTGTGTCTCTCTCTTTTTCTCTGCCCCTCCCCTGCACATGCTCTGTCTTTGTCTCTCAAAAATAAATAAACATTAAAAAAATTAAAAAACAAACAAAAAAAACCCATGTAGTTCCGTATCATACAAGTTAATGTATACACCTCAGTGGTTTTTAGTATATTCCCCGAGCTGTGCAGCCATCACCAGTCAATTTGGGAGTTGTTTTCTTTACCCCAGAAAGAAACCTGTACCCTTGAGTTATCTCCTTGTCTCCCCCACCCCCAGCTTAGGCAACCACTAATCTCCTTTCTGTCTCCATAGATTTCCACCTGTTCTGGACATTTCGTATGAATCATTATATGCACTTTTTGGCCTTATTTTTATACGTTGAAAAATAAACTGCCAGGTGTATTCAGAAAGGTGAAGCAGTCTGTCTGGGAACACATAGCTAGGAATAAACAGAGCTGGGATTCGAACCGATGTCTGACTGACCCCACTGTTTCTAGAAGCTGAGGGAGGCATAGACCATTATAATTGTCCAGAGAAGCTTGATCTCCAGAGTAAAGGGGAGGCGTAGTGAGTAAAGGCTCCAGGTGGGAGTTGGGCCATTCATCTCAGTCTTCTGCTCACCCTCCTGCCCCTGTAGATGCCCCACGAAAGCCCAGCATAGACGGCTTCTCATCCGATTCCTGGCTGGAGATGGAGGAGGAGTCCTGTGAGCAGCAGCCTCAGGAGGAGGAGAAGGAGGAGGAAGAAGAAGAGGAGGAGGAGGAGGGTACAGATAAGTTGCCCAAGCCACCCGCCGATGGCCCTGCCTCGCCCACCAGCACCCCCTCAGAGGACCAGGAAGCCCCTGGGAAGAAGCCCAGAGCGCCTGCCATGCGGTTCCTCCAAAGGACTTTGTCTAACGAGTCGGAGGAGAGCGTGAAGTCCACGACGGTGCCCACAGACTACCCCAAGACGCCCACTGGCTCCCCTGCCACGGGGGTCTCGGCCAAGTGGACCCACCTCACCGAGTTTGAGCTGAAGGGCCTGAAAGCACTGGTGGAGAAACTGGAATCTCTCCCAGAGAACAAGAAGTGTGTCCCCGAGGGCATCGAGGACCCCCAGGCACTGCTGGAGGGTGTGAAGGTGGGCAGCTGAGAAGGGCCGGGCAGTTCCCAGGGGCAGCTCAGCCCAGGGCGGCTTGGTGCAAACTGTCCTGGGGGTATGTCTATGCATGGGAAGGGGCTTCTGGTCCAAGCAGGCCTGCGTCGGGCCCCTGAGCCAAGGCCACCGCTAAGAGCTATAGGGGAAAGCTGCCTCGTGGTTGGCAAGGAGCTCTCTCTCAGCACTTACTGAAACTCTGGCAGGCTTTGCTGGCAGAAGACATATGGGGGTGCCCACAGTGCTGTTGTTAGGTTTGGGGACAGACCCCTCCATCCTGTTCAGGGACACTTGCTGTTCTGGGTTGGCTTCCCCTGGAGTGTGCATGTTTCACATGGCCAGGTTGTACGTCCTGGTCGTCCTCTAGATGGCGTGCTGAGGTAGCCACCGGGGTTCAGAGGTCTTTAAGCAGAGCCGAATTATTGAGCAAATGTTCATTAAGCACCATCTGGGCTGACCACTCAGGGAACAGAAAGTGGGATGGCACTGGTAGCTCACCCAGTAGCAAGGAGGCAGAGGAGGAAAAGTCAGGAGATAGGGAATTACTTGGCCTGTAGCCTGCTGTGTGTACCCAGGGCATGGGGGTGGGGTGAAGGACACTCATCAGCCACACCAGGTGCCAGGGCTCGGAGACGGTTATACAGAGGGCATTTGGCTAGGGCCGTAGAGGCTGCATAGGAGTTCTCTGGAACGGGGAGGCTATACAGGCACAGTGCAAACATGCGGTGTGTGTATTTCCTAGGAAGTACCCTGAGAGGCCTTGCCCTGTAGCCATCATGATCGTACTGTTTGTTGAAACCTCTCTACCTGTCAGGTACCTGTGCTAGGCAAGCTACCTCAACTATCTGCACTTAACCAGATACGTAAGTAGGCTCAGAGGGGGTGAAGGACGTGCCTGAGGTGACAGAGCAGGTGAATGCGGGGTGCTCGCATGAGGACCCGGGGGTGGCCCCAGAGCTCCTGTGTGTATACCACCTCGCAGAACCACCTCTTTTTTCACCATCCGTCAGGCTTTTTGCTGTGAGGCCTCAGAGGCATTTGGCCTTCCTCTTCCGGTGTCTGATTCCCAGTGAGTCCAGCTGCCCGCTGGGGTTGGAAATTAAGTCTCTTTTTTTGATGCCTGGAAACACTACCCAGGTCTTGTAAACTAGTTCATGTGTTCACTTACTCATTTAGGAAACAAGTGTCAGGCCTTGTGACATAGCAATGTTAATAAGGTCCTGTCCTCAAGGTGCTGAGTGATCTGGGGCTAAACTCTTGTGGGGGTGAGACCCGGGGATCCCCATCAGGCAGCCTGATGGGCACTGCCAACAGAGGGAAAGGGTGTACAAAGTCATTAATCCAGATATATTTCACTTTATATAGAAGAGGTATTCCTCCAGGTGCCATGAAATGAAAATCTTATAAACTGGGGGAGATTGCCTGATAAAAAAAAACTCTGTGGTGACCATTTCTATAAAGCAAACCTTTACGTGCTTTTTCATTGACTCATGACTTTTTTGTAGGTTGCTGACCTCACCTGAGGGCTTTTTTTTTTTTTTTAATTTTTTAATGTTTTATGTACTTCTGAGAGAGAGAGAGAGAGACAGTGTGAGCAGGGCAGGGCCAGAGAGAGAGGGAGACAGAATCTGAAGCAGGCTCCAGGCTCTGAGCTGTCAGCACAGAGCCCGACCTGGGGCTCGAACCCACGAACCACAAGATCATGACCTGAGCCGAAGTTGGCGCTTAACCGACTGAGCCACCCAGGTGCCCCTCACCCGAGGGTTTTATGTAAATTTGCTTATAGACACAAAATTCCACATGCCGGGTCAGGGGGGTCTTGGACTCCTGAACCAGTTCCTGGACCCCAGGTTAAGAATCCTTAATCTCCTGGTGTGGAGTTTTGTATATTGGGTTTCCCAAAGGAAACCTTAGCATTCTGTCATGAGGCTCCTTTTTTTCTTCTGAGGTCCTTTAAAGTAAAACAAGGAATTTTCGTCAGTCATAAAGCCATCAACAGTACTGGAGCCCCTAAATATTGTGAGTTAAAAACACATTCATCTTATAAGCAAATGTTTTCTGTGCTTGTGGGAAGCTGTTTTTTTACTTAAAAACATTTTTTTTTAAATTTTTGCGAGAGAGAGAAACAGAGTGTGAGCAGAGGAGGGGCAGAGAGAGAGGGAGACACAGAATCCAAAGCAGGCTCCAGGCTCTGAGCTGTCAGCACAGAGTCCCACGCAGGGTTCAGACCCCCGAACCGTGAGATCATGACCTGAGCTGAAGCTGGACGCTTAACCGATTGAGCCACCCAGGCGCCCCTCTTTTTTTTCCTTTAAACACATCTTTGTGTCTCTGATCTGTTTGTGTAATGTTCCTGGTTCCTCGGTTGGTCAGATGTCTTTCTAGGGATGGAACTTGGCCCCTCCTGCCTCTCACCTGTACCCACCTGATGGGCATCTGAGACTAGATTCAGCCTAGGCTGGTCGATGGTGTGGAGGAGGCCTGGGGAAGGGGTTTGGATAAATTTCAAGGAGCCCACCTCTTCCCTCCTGTCCCCACCATGGCGTTCAGTGGCAGGTTGTGATAATGTGTGATAATGCATCTCATTTGCTACCTGCTCTTATAGGTGTTTCCCATATAAAAACTCATTTAAATCTCCCAAAAACCCTCAGTAGTATTTTTACTAGCATCATTTTGCAGATGAGAAAATTGAGGTAATTTGCCCAAGTCCACACATGCCACTCAATGGGGGAGTCCTTGTGTTTCCCCCCTACACCATACTGCTCTGTACAGAAATTTTCTCCCCTTTCAGAGGCCATTTACATTTAGGGAGAAGGTAGGAAGGGGATTGCTTGGGATTTCTTTACAGAACAAGCAACAGCCCAGGCCCTGGGACAGTATAAATGGCAGTCCCTGGCCATATCCAGCCTCTAGGCATTAGGTTTGGCCTGCACAATATGAAACATTTTTGTAATTATTTGCCAACATTAAAATATCAGAAGAGTCATTAAAAAGTGTCCTAGCTCTCCTGGCCCATGTTCTGGACTGGCTATAAGCAGCAGGAAGTGAGTTGCAACTGACCTTATACACCCCAGTCCCCACCACTCCCTACTGCCTCCCTGAGTGTGTATTTATTATCAGGCTCTCACATCTCTTTTTCCTATAATCTAATCACTTAGCTCACTTATTGAACTTGCCTATCTCTTTTTTTTCCTTACTAAGACAGCAGAAGACATGATTGATTGTATATGTGTTCCGGATGAATACAGAATTAGTCCCGAAAGTCACAGATCCAGGGCAAAGGACCCAAAGAGGCTGTTTTTTGGTATGAGCAAGGTGTGTCTCCCAAAGGTGGTCATGCGATCAGATGGTGCTGGATGTTTTAGATCCATTGAGTCAAGTTCTAGAAAGTGGGTGTGCCGTCCGAGAGCTTGTACTCGCCTCTGGCTTTCCTTATTTCTGCTCCCGTGGCTTTCGTGGTACACAAGCTAGTGGTTTACTGGGACCTGTGCTCCATCTTTCTTCTTTTTCTCTTCAGCCTTTGCTTTTGTTTCTTTCTCCACTTGGCTCTTATGGTGTGGAGGTTTCCAGGAAGATGGCAGCTGAGGCCAAGGGGGCTTGAATTGCCTATCTTTGGAGATATTTATGTTCTTGCACCTTGTCCGGGGAGAGCTTTTGCAACTTAAAGAGCTCAGAAAGTGGGTAGACAGGTCTCCGTAGAGCCTCAGGAAAACGAGAGCATCTGCTGGTGTCTTTAAATGCTGTGTGGCCAGGAGTCTGTACGGGGAAAGTGGGCCAAACGTCTCTTCCAGAACAGGGGGGTTCTTGGCTGACAGCTCCTCACAGTCCCTGGACACCCAGAAAAGGTGTTGAATCCAAGACTGACCTTCAGAGCGAGAGTGTCGTCACGGACACTGGCTGCACACATTTTGGTGCCTTTGTTCTCTGTCCTCAGATATTGAGCTTTTGTGTGTGCTGGCTGAAAAATAAAACACAGCTCAGGAATGTGGGTCCCCTTCCCACGGGTGTCCCTACCGTTGAGTGATTCGTGTTTCTGGCCAGTGGTGGTTCTCCCTTGGTGACTGACCCATGATGATCTTTGGCTTGTGTTGCAAAAAGACAACATCTTTCCTTCTGTCCTTTTCTCTGGGACCTCAGAGACTGCTGCTGATGGTGGCTCATGGTAACCAGAGCCCCTAGGATTGGAGACGGTCCCAAAACAACTCCGTCTCCAGATGGCTAGGTTTTGGCTTTTATTATCAAGAACCCATTTTTTTTCTTTATTTTTTCATTAAAAATTTTTTTTAATTTTTAAAAAATTTTACTGTTTGTTTGCTTGTTTATTTATTTTTGAGAGAGAGAGAGAGAGGGACAGAGTGTGAGGAGGGGAGGGGCAGAGAGAGAAGGAGACAGAATCAGAAGCAGGCTCTAGGCTCTGAGCTGTCAGCACAGAGCCTGATGTGGGGCTCAAACTCACAAACTGCAAGATGATGACCTGAGCCGAAGTTGGATGCTGAACCAACTGAGCCACCCAGGTGCCCCCCAGAATTTTTAATTTAAATTCTAGGTAGTTAACATACAGTGCAATATTGGAAAAACTCATTTTCTTCTTTCATTTGTAATGTATTTTTTAAATTGTGGTAAAATACACATGACACTATTTTGATTTAAAATTTTTTATTTTTTGGGGTGCCTCAGTGGCTCAGTCAGTTGAGCATCTGACTTTGCTTCAGGTCATGATCTCGCAGGTATTGGGTTCAAGCTCCCCATTGGGCTCTGTGCTGACAGCTCAGAGCCTGGAGCCTGCTTCAAATTCTGTGTCTTCCTCTCTCCCTGCCCCTCCCTCAGTTGCACTCTGTGTCTCTCTCAAAAATAAATAAACATTAAAAAATTCTCTCTTCTTTTTTACTAGATCACCACTTTAGAGTCTTCAAAAATCTTCAAGAATTGGGGCGCCTGGGTGGCTTGGTCAGTTGAGCATCCCACTCTTGATTTTGGCTCAGGTC